ACATCCCCCTTCACCAGATATATCATTTTATGATACATTTATGATACATTTGTACGATTAGTTTTAAAAAGGACATACTTCAGTGAGTTTCAATTATTGTAGGGCTGTTGTAAACGAATATTTTAGTAATCGAGGTACTCGAATCATTCGAGGAATCGTTTCAGCCCTAAATTATTGTATATTAATTATTTTTATATTGTTTCACAACACTTAATATAAATTCCTTCAGTTTTAAAGGATTTCAACACAAATCATATAAAAGCCTGGGTTTATTATGGTAGGAGATTTTTAATCCAACTTAAAGTGATGCAATTGCAAGATCAATGTATATTCCCTGTTATTTGATTTTTACTAAACTCAAAAAGAGCGGATTAGGCTGTTAAATGGTGCATTCATAGACTGAACTTTTATTAATACATTGCCCTTAGTTCCTCAAGTTGTAAAATTTTCATGTGTAGGAAGAGTCTCTCTTTATGACAACTAATCCAGCAAATATTGCCTCACAAATGTTCAAGGGGGCACAGGTCCCAGGATTTATATTCATATGTCTGTATTGCTATCGATTTTTAAAAATATTTTTAAAAATCCACTGCAAAAGATTAATGGAGATTCTGGTTTGTCTGAAGGAAATAAACAGAATAAGAAAAGACAACAAAAATTATGCCAGCTACGTTTTAAAAATGCACTATAAAAGTGCATTTTAGCAACTGGGGAAAAAATGTATCTTTTATATCTTATATAGGACTTATATAGGATATATACAGTTTATGGAGAACATGTGTGATAAGTGTTTGCCAGACAAAAACCTAACATAAACACATGATTCTAATAACTAACTCATGGAGGCGGGTAATTTAAGATGAGAGGACCAACCCATGCATCAACATTTTATCCCGGACATGTTTTGTTCCTTCCCTCCTTCTCCTTGCGCTCCGCTTCCACTTCTTACGGTAACGAGAAACTGCTGTTTCTCAGCTGATATGAGGCGTCCACTCCCCGGCAGCCTCCTCAGTCAGGACTTAGCAGGACAGAATCGCACCGCTTCACTTTGCAGACAGGGGCTTTAACGACCATAAGACCCGAGATGTTGGACAACGAGGACCATCTGTTGGAGAACCACCCGCGGGAACTCACCCAGAACCCGCTGAAGAAGATCTGGATGCCGCATAAGAACAGCCACATCGGGCACAGACGGGGTAAGAGATGCGGCTGACCCCACGGCAAGTGCGCCAACACAAGATGTGACCAGAACAGACATCTGCGGAGACTTTTTATTGTTATTATTATTTTTTTTTGTTTGTTTGTTTGTTTTGCTCGGTTTGCGTCAGCTTGCGGCTTGTGTTATTTTTTTTCTCATGTTAGATTGATTTCTTAACTCATGAAGGCGCTGCTCGGTGAGGCTGGAAGTGTTGCATCATGCTCTGCTCCTCTAATCCGTGTTTGCACTAACCGTGCTTCCGCGGAAATGCATTCAGGAACGCAGAGAAGGAGAATAATTGCGGGCAACTTAATTTAGCCTGAGCCAGCGCTAACCTGTCTGGGTGTGAGACTTGGCAGATGCTCTTTAATCTCACACGGTAGCTTGGTCCCTGTCTGGTTTGTTCTCTCTGCAGCTCGTGTTTCTACACACTCAAAGCTCTGCTTTCCTTTTTTTAAATAGCTGCAGCCAGTCCCGTCCTGCGTCTGTCAGGACAACACCCTCTGCAGCTCTAATGCAAAGATTACTGCGATTAAACCATTTTAAAACTGAATTATAAATGGGTTAATAACTTTATTTTGTCAGTAATTTAAAAAAAAATGTAATGTTTTATGTTTGAAAATGCCAGAGCTGGCCAAAAATTGTATGGGGCGCTGTGCATACTTTATTTGGGGGACCCACTTCCAATTAATCCCATTTCCTTAAAATGGTTTTGCCCCATTCTGGGAGAAAACAGACACTCCAATTTGAAAGGGGATTAAAAGCATATTGCAGTATAGTAATAAGTATGTTTTTTTAAAATGTGAATTGATATCAAACAAGGAAAACTGTTATATAATGTTTCTACTGGAAGTAAAGTAAAGCTGAAGTGAAGGCACCAGAGACTCTGAAAAACCTCAGCAAGAGGACAGAGGCTTCATATATATATATATATATATGTAAATGTATATGTGATTTTTTTTTTATTGCCAAAATGACTTGGCAAAAAGTGACTTAAACCATTATTTTAGGAAAGTGACTGTATTCTGCTTCTATCGTAAAAAAAAAAATCTTCCTGTTTGCAATATGTGTATCCTGAGATTACGCTGTATTTTTAATTTGGATTTGTATAACAGTCAAGTCAAATCTATTTAGCACATTTAAGGCAGTCCAAAGTGCTTTAAACAATAAAAACATTATGCAGTTACCAATTATGAAACAAGCAACCATTATCAAGAATGATCATCATTAAATATATTGATCAGTGTTCCAATTATTTTTATTAAAAAACTAAACAGGTGGTTTTAGACTTGATTTAAAGAAACTAGTTCATAATGGCAGGGATGTTAGAATAATCTTAGTCTCACAGGAATTTTCACTGTTAGTTATTAAACATTTAATAACTATACCATATAATTCATACACATCAAGGGCAAAAAGCCAATAAATAAAAAACAAATAAGAAATCATCTGGAAAATTTAAAAAGTGTTAAATGAGGAAATGGATTTTGCTGTTTGACAGTTAATTAATTAATAATTAAAACACTTTATTAAATGTATAGTCAGAAAAGCAATTAGTCCATTTATTGATTTTAATAAAAACAATAGTCAGCATAGATTTGAACTTTTTAATAGGTCTCATGACCCATAAAAGTTAATTTTGAACGTCAAAATAAAAACAAATAATAATAATTTGATTCCTAATAATTCAAGTATTATGTAAGGGATAACTTCATGGGTCTGTCAAACCTTTCATTACTTTTGTTTAAGGTGCCCGGGGAGGATTTAAATTTTTGTCATATTTATGACCCTTTTGTTTCAAGATTTACTATAACAACCCAACAATTAAACTGCTTGACCCTCAAATTATTCATGTTTATTATTAAATTATTAGTCATAAATAAATCCTGAAGATAAGATTATTTCTCTGATTTTCTCCAATTTGCTAACCATTTGCCAGCCATGGAAAATTGTGTTTTTATTATACAGATAATTTTCAGTAGCAAAGTGCATGGAAGTGACTCTGATACGGACACAATGAGCATAAATGATCGACCAATCAAATAAAGTTTATTTCTGTATCACATTTTAAATTTTAAATAATTTACTAAAGTCCTCCTGAACAAAGTATAACATTGCTTACAACTTAGTGAAGCATAAGCCACAATAATATATTTAAAAGCAAAAATATAACCATATAGGAAAAAACATTGTTGAACCAGCAACTTAAAATTAGATTTAAATATCTGTTAAACTCTGAATATTTTCATTTGTATAAGTAGAGGACATGCGTTTGTTCTTAATCCTGCATTAATAAAACTATATGAAATAAACTAGAATCATATTTACTGGTCAAGGAATTTAACTTTGGTTTTCAAGTGCTCACAGTGCACAGACATATATAAAATAAAACGAGGATAAAGGAAAAATATGTACATCCAAAATTACTTTATATAATTTACATGCTTACATTTTAACCTTCAAGTCAAATTTACAGCTGACTATTCCTCTCTAGAACATAATTTAAAGTTTTGAGTATAAAAAGTCGAGAGTTTTTGGGAAAGCCTTGATAGTTTCGTTTATGCCTTCAGAAAACTGTTACTCTGCAGAATCGCAACAGTTGTGAGAAATCCAGCAGAGCTGCACATTTTATCAGATCCCAGTGGTTAAATATGTGCAACATCTGAATCACAAAGGACTGCCTGGACGCTATTGGCTGGGGATTTACGGGCTATGATAGGCTGCCTATAAATATTGGGTGCTGTGGATGGACTCCAGTCTTCCTTAAGCTGAGAGGCTGAAGCCGGCTGAGAGTTGTGTAACGGTCAAACCAGGAAATTGGCAGGAAGATATGCGCTAATTGTTTTCAATATTGACATGGCAGTGTGCAGGTGTAGTGTTGCATTTAAATATTTCCCTGATATCCTGGAGCATCAACGTATCAGCTGTGATCTTTAGATAACTGTAAAGCTCTTGCCTGGCTTTTGTCCAGCATGTGAAATGCTGTCCCTGATTAACAGGAGCGTGTCTCCGGTTAGTCACGTAAAAAGTCTGATTGGACCCAATCGTTACTCGTTTTGCATCTTTCTCTCGTCTTCCCTCAGTATGCATGACAAACTGCCCAACGCTCATCGTCACCGTCGGACTTCCCGCCCGAGGAAAGACGTACATTTCTAAGAAGCTCACCCGCTACTTGAACTGGATAGGCGTGCCAACCAAAGGTATGAGAGCGGCTCTCCCGACAATTAATCCGCATGTCAAAGTGAAAAGCAGCTGCTCTCTTTGGTTTGAAACGCGACTGTCTGGTTGTCAGAGTTCAACGTCGGTGATTATCGGAGAGAGTGTCTGAAGATCTACAAGTCCTTCGAGTTTTTCCGTCCAGATAATGAAGAGGGCGTTAAAATCAGACGGTGAGTTTTCACAGACGTTTTAAGGATCCAAAGTATTCAGTCACAGAGAGGAAACACGGCAGAGTGACACTGAGCTGACCAGAGTTTTCATTTGAAATTAATTTTTTTCTAGACTGAAATTTCTAGATTTTTGTAATAAAACACTAAACAAAACATTTACCTCATCGGTTTTTAGGATGTTTTATTGCAAAGATCATCAGAAACTGTTGGCTTCTCATGCAGCAATGTGGGGAAAAAGCCGTTTGCTCCATTTTTGTTTTGGCATCTGGACCAACGTGGATCAGCTCTGTTTCAAAATCTTTAACCCTTGTACATATTAAATCCAGACTGGATCATTCTCCTTTAAATGGAGACATCCTAAAGCACTTTCTGATCCTTGATACTTTTATTTTGTTTGTGAAAATTAAAAGAAATATAAGTCGCTTATATTTCTGTGCTTTGTTTAGCATCTAAAGTGTTTTAAATCATGATATAAGAGCCTAGAGGACACAAAAATCCCCTCGTTAAAATTTTTTTAATGGGTGTGCATTTATATTTGTTCTTGGTGAGTAGATTGCTGATAAATGAAGCAATCTAGATAGAAATCAATGTAAAAAAAAAAAAAAGTCATTTATTAATTTTGAAATCCTGAATTTAATATATTCATTAACAGAGAAAGGAATAAACATTTTCCCACACTTACCAAGACTTGGAAAATGTCCAAATCCATTTCTGTACATCTCAGCGAGTCCTGACGGACTCATCTGTAAATCACTTGTGATGCAGATTTAAAGAGTGTCTCCTCTTGTGTCCTTTCACAGTCAGTGTGCGATGTCTGCGCTGAATGATGTGCGGCAGTACCTGAGTGTCGAAGGAGGACAGGTTGCTGTAAGTCCTTCAGCTCCTCCCTGACGTCTGCAAGCAAAGCAGCTGCACAGCAATTATGTGAAAGTGCTGCAGTAACAATAATGCTTTCCTGCTGTTTCAGGTGTTTGACGCCACAAACACGACAAGAGACAGAAGAGGAACCATCATGAAGTTTGCTGAACAGAACGGGTTCAAAGTACGATCGATTTATCTGCTTTTAACTTCGAGTTGATGGCTTCCGAGTCTTTTTTACAGCACATTCTTCTCAACGCAGGTATTTTTCGTGGAGTCTGTGTGTGAAGACCCAGAGGTCATTGCACAAAACATCGTGGTGAGCGCCATTTGTCTTGATTCCGTGTTTATACCAAACAATATGCAGCTGTGCAATTCTGCCTTCTGGAAACGGAAGTGCTTGTTTTGATTCAGCCGGCGTCTGCTTCCTGCTTTTCCTTCGCTCACATGCTGTTCTCTCTTTGAAGCAAGTAAAGCTGGGAAACCCAGACTACATGAACTGCAGCTCAGAGGAGGCCATCGAAGACTTCATGGAGAGAATAAAGTGCTACGAGACCTCCTACCAGCCTCTGGACGAAGACCTGGACAGGTGAAGATCCACGAACGAACCGACCCGATGATGAAATCGCCTCAGTGTCGAGGGAGTTTGACCGATAATTTTCCCCTCTTTCCAGCGACGTGTCTTACATAAAGATCATGGATGTGGGCCGTCGGTACCTGGTGAACCGAGTTGTTGACCACATCCAGAGCCGGATCGTCTACTACCTGATGAACATCCACATCACTCCGCGCTCCATCTACCTCTGTCGCCATGGCGAGAGCGACCTCAACATCAAGGGACGCATTGGAGGAGACTCCGGCTTGTCTTCCAGAGGGAAAGAGGTCGGTTTCTGTTCACGTCTGAAACATGGAGGTTCCTCCATGTTTATGGAGGAAACATTTTCCATAAACATTTTGGACATGTTCCATGTCCAAAATGTTCCTTCGTCTTTTATTGAAGAAAGGCTGAGAAACCTGATTGTACGTAGTTTCCTGTTTTTCATATAAGGGACAGGGCTGAAATGATTAACCAAATTCATCGTGATGAAGCGATTATTGAAATAATTGTCAACTAATTTAGTAATCAATTAATTGTTAACTGGACTATACAGACTCTAAAAAATGCTATTTGCTGCTAGAACAACATATTCACTGCAGTAATTAAGCCAAAGCTATACAAAAAATGTATACATTTTGCATTTATGATTAAAAAAGCTTTGCCTGTTAATATTTTCTACCCTGAATTCCACATGGATTCTTGGCAAAGTATGTTTCTGGGTTCATGTTGTAAAGATTAAAGAAATGCCACCAAGTAGGAATATCTGACTCCACAAATTATTTAGTCAATGTAATTTTTTTGCCATTAATCAATTATTTGTTTTCTTCTGTCACATTAAACAGCCCTTTGGGGATGTTGCAAAGTTTGTTTTTTTATGATTGTTGTGGCCTAAAATTACAGATTTTGAAGCACCTCTTTCTAAAAAGTTGTGGGTTTTTTTAAGCTTTGTTTTTGCCCCAACGTGGTTTTTAAAAAAGTTAAAACTGCTTCACATGACCTTCCCATAAAATATTTTAACATTAAATATTTAAGTGAGAATAACATTTCTGAGTACCGTTGTAAAGTAGCACCCTTAATACAAATAGAATAATGTTCTGAGGAATTATCAAAGTGCAAAAGTAGAATTTCATAAGGTCAAAGGTCAGCGTCACACAGAGCTTTCATCTCGCGGCTTCGGATTTAAGAGACATTGAGAAACGGGAAGCTAAGTCAGAAAGTGGCATTGATCAAAATTCACCTGAATTTCAGTGCTTGGTCAGAAAATAAGGAAAGAACATTTTAAGATAACTGGATAGACTTGTGGAAAAATTGCGATGATTGATGAAAATTTGCAAATGTTCAGTGAATTTGTCCTAATAGTTGCGATTGTAACTTCGTGGATTAAACCTGATTAAGATCGTGATGAGGCGGTTTCTTAAATGCAGTTTGCCAAACGCTTGAGGAGCTTCCTTGAAGAGCAGAAAATCAAGGATCTGAAGATCTGGACCAGCCAGATGAAGAGAACCATCCAGACAGCAGAGTGCCTCGGCGTCCCGTACGAACAGTGGAAATCCCTCAACGAGATCGACGCCGTACGTCCACTTCTGGTCTCATCCCTTGAGAAGAGTTATCACTGCCAGAGCAACATTTTAAAATCTGTTTTCTTCCTTCTGCATAGGGTGTGTGTGAAGAAATGATGTACGAGGAGATCCAGGAGCATTTCCCTCTGGAGTTCGCATTGAGAGACCAAGACAAGTACCGCTACCGCTATCCGAAAGGAGAGGTGATTACTGTATTTTTACACAAGTTGGAGACGAGTTTCCTGATGTGTTTTGAATATTTACGGGTTTGTGATTCTGTGTTAGTCGTATGAAGATCTGGTGCAGCGGCTGGAGCCTGTGATCATGGAGCTGGAGAGACAGGAGAACGTCCTGGTCATTTGTCACCAGGCCGTGATGCGCTGCCTGCTGGCGTACTTCCTGGACAAGACTTCACGTAAGGGAGAGACTTTAATTAATATCTTTTGAACTTGTAAGTCTGAAGCAGAAGGAAAACTTTATTTGGTTTCAAGTAAAAATTGGAATCCGTCATGCATTTGTGTTCGGTCGTCTCAGAAACAATTGTTTGCAACCAGCTCAAGCAGATACTTAACGGAGAGCCTTCATTTAAGTCCTTGCACAGATTCTCAACTGAATTTTAGTCAGGGCTTTGACTGGGCCAATTTAACTAATGAGTATGTCTCAATCTAACCCAGGGATCTGCAACCTGCAGCTCCATAGCTTCAACGATGGGTCTAAATAACTCTAGCTTAAAATCATAAAGATTCAGTTGTTTTAAATACACAACAGCTGTTTTAGATATGCATTTAAAACGTCAGTATATCACAGCCTCTCCTTCATGGCTTGAAGTAAACTCCAACCAGGACTTGTTGTGATTTTCTGCTTCTCTCTCTCTCCTGCAGATGAGTTGCCTTATCTCAAGTGTCCTCTGCACACCGTCTTAAAGCTCACACCCGTTGCTTATGGTGAGCATTTTTGGGGAGTTTATAAATGTTTTTCTTTCAGTCGGATTATGCTGTATATTGAGAGGCTTTCTGTATTAGTAGGTGCTTAATGTGATTATCGTCATTTTAGGTTTTAAAACCCCACAAATTTTTCCACTTTGGGTCAAAAATGTGTTTATTTTTAGCTTCTCCCACTTGTTTTTTTATATACAGTGTGTGTGGCATTTCTTTCTTCTACAGTTTGTAGTTCTGGGTTGGAATTGAGATGTTTTTTATACTGACAAATTACATCCTCGTAATGCAGAGAAGCAATAAGCTCTGTAGACAAGCAGCCTTCCCTGTGAACTCATTCTGAAATTGCCGTATTGCCTGTTCAGGCAATGCAACGTTCTGGTTGCATAACGCTAACAGCTCCTTCGTAGTTGGGGAGTGTGTGTGAAACAGGTTAGGCTTGAAAACAGGCATTTATGTGGTTTGACAAAACTTGTCCTCAGTAGCTGCTGCGAAAGTTATCATCATATTATCAGCTGTTAAGTATGTAGAAATTTCTTTGGGAAGTTATGTTTTATAATTCACTTAAGCCTTAAAGCTTTATGTCAAGTTATAATGTTATTCCTTCATCCAAACCATAACTGGAGTGTTGCTTTGATTCTCTCATGCTTGTTTGAGGAATCCTTGAATTTCTGGTAGCAGCCATTGGGGGCGCCTAAACGCTTGCTCCTCTCTCACTCGGCTCCTCCAGACTAGCGGCAGCAGCAATTAGCAAACACCTGGTGTAACTATGTGTCTGCTGAGCTCATCATACAAACTACTCCTCAGTCCAAGAACGATTGTAAACGGCATCATGGAGTAGTATGTTTGTGATGACTTCCTGAAGGTGGAGTGTCGGAGCAGGAGCTTCTTAAAGTGACAAAGCCCAATTGCAAAGTCAAATGTCTTTTAAGTCATGTTTGATATATATTTAGCATTTTTATAACAACTGAAGGTAACATACTTGATTGTGCTCTACATACCTGGTAAATACATAATACAGCACCTTTAAATTTTAATTCATGAGTCCTAGGAAGTCTTGAAATTACAGCAGTGAAACTCTGAGAAATCCTGAAAACAGTTTCCTCACGAGCTAAAGGAGGCCAGCTGCAGCCTGATGTGCACAGAGGTTATAATCATGCTGAGACAAAACTGATTTCCTCTGAATAATGTCTTATTTTCCTATTTGTTTTCTTTTCCTCAGGATGTAAAGTGGAGTCTGTGTATTTAGGCGTGGAGTCTGTGAACACACACAGAGACCGACCAGAGGTGGGTATCACAAACAGCATACTGAGAAGTCTGACAGCAGAGCGTTGACTTCGCTGCGTCGTCAGCCTCACGCCGTCCGTGAACCTCGTCCAGATCTGGGTCGGGTCGGGTCGGGTGGGGGTTCCTCTCTCTAAACACACAGACTGTGACTTTGTGCCTGAGCTCTTCAGAAGGCGCATCACGTCCTCCTACATATTCAGTCCCAATCCCCCTGCAGCTCAGCTGTCAGCGTTCGACCCGTTCCTGTTGTGACAGAATATGAAGAATGTATCACAAAACAGCCCAATCTGCTGACCCGTCATTTCATTCTTGTTTCCAGTGTTAGGAAAATAATTCAGCTTTGTGTTCCCATAAACAAAGTGTGACAAATCAGTACAGTACAGAGAGCCCTGTGGGACAAACAACCATTGCACATAAAATACATTTAATATTTAACCATCTGATTGCAGATTAGAGCTGATAAAGAGAAAATTATCATATTTCAGCCTATGGATAATTAACTGGTGCATCTGTATTTCTTTGTATGAGTGCTTGTGGTTAATTTCTGTTTCATCATAAGTTTAATTTTAGTTCATTTGTTTGTTTATTGTCGCTGCTGTCCGCACAACTTAAAATCTTAACCTGAATCACGCTGCACACGACGCACAATTGTTCCTGCCTATTGAGTGATTGTTAAAGCTGCACCTTGAGCATAAGCTAAGTGTTGTTTTCGAATGTTAAAGGTTGAACCTGTGATATTTACCAGCAATGTTTTCAGTTTGCTGTTAAGTTTCGAAGTTTGTGTTTTATACTTCAGTCGAATGTAATTTGTCCCATGTTGACATTGTTCATGTTTGTGCATTGTAAATAAAACAAGTTCATTTCAATTATTGTTTCTGGCCAAATTATCATTTATTTTGTCAAAAGTAAAGCAGACATAGTGGTTTATATTTTTTAAAGCCAGTTTTCTTCATTACACATCAAATTTCAGCACTGTATTCAGAGCAGTAAGGCTGGAGACGACTAGACGTCTCCTACAGCCTCTTCACATTGACTCTGACATTTATATATCTAGTTACACCTTCCAGAAACAACCAAAGCCACGAGTGCCTGAAAATACATTTTCCACACACCACAAGGCTCCTAGAGGAAAGCCTTTGCTGCCCTCTAGTGGTCAAAAATGCTTAATTTTGCTAATTTTCATTCTAGACAGATTATACATTTAATATGCTATATTCAAATTAATCTGTTTAGATTATTTCTCTTACATAACCTGAAATAAAGTGTTTAACATTTAAAAGCCTTTTCATTAGTTCATACCCAAAGCATTCGCTTCACACAGGATTTGTTTCGAAGGTTTTTTCACTGAGTCAGTACTTTTCAGATCCAACAGGTGGCGATAATGACCATCCCTTTGCTCCTTCTTGCAGAACGTGAACGTGCAGCGCAGCACCGAAGACGCTCTGCAGACGGTCCCAGCTCACCTCTAATATATCTGGGATCGCTGCTCCAGCTGGAACCTCACTCGGTGTAAACGACGCCCGCTCTGCAGCTTCGATCCACTCCATGCAGTACTTTTAGTTTCTATTGGGAGAAATCCATTCCTTAATCTGTGAGGCCACTGTCACTGGTGCTACAATACTCCCATCAGTATCATCTGTGACTGTGTTGCTGAGTCCTGTGTGTGTACCGTCACGCGCTTCTGTCGACTTGGAAGATGTTTTAAATCAACTGAAAAACTCATAACTCCAGAAGGACCTCATAATAGTGTATTTCACAAATACGTGTTCTTTTTTAGACCGTTGTTTTATTTTTACTTACTGTATTATATTTTATACTGAAGCTATAAAGGAAGAAATGGAAGGGGAAAAAAAGGTGCAGCAAGAACTAACAGCCAGATCAACCGTACGCATTCCACTGAAGGACAAACTACAGAAGACACTAAATGTGTTTTTGTTGCTATAATCCAAAATGTGACAACTGCATTAGGATCAAGGACTTCTAGTGTAGCTGATTTTCACTCTTAAGATACTAAACCGAAAACATATCTACAGTCCTGTTCCTGGTCTGCTTTCTGAATCAAAGTATGAAGTGTGGCACCATGGAAGGGATAGATGCACATCTCCATCATATTACTACCTGTTATTGTACATACTTGTGCTGAATATTCAGCTATGGAAATGTAAATGTGAAACAGATGAAGAAGAACCACTAAAATACAAAGTATACTTTATTTTTATTTTTATTAATTGCCAGATGTGTAAATTTGTTTCATCTGTTTGCGTGTGAAATAAAACATTTAACTGATTGCCCTCATGGTTCAATGTTTGTGGTAACAAAACAAAATGAAATTTATGTGCATATAATATATATCTGTAAATATACTTAAAAACATTTAAATTATCTTTAAAAAAAAAATCTGTTTCATCCTGTGCTCAATACTATAGAGGCTGTGTTGACCTTTCACGGCAAGAAATGAAGGTGTGGTGGGAATATTTTATACACAAACGTCAATAATTTGAGCACAGGACGAGTTTCAGGTTAAAGGGAAGAGCCCCATTGGCCCTCACAGCCTCACTGCGCTTCTTCATCTTCTTTTCCCCTCTTGGCGGAAAACGCCAGCGAAGGTCTGCCCTGCCGTGAGTCGGCTCCACAGTGACGGCCAATATTGCAAAAGGAATGTGTTCTGAGGTCTTCTCTCGCTTTCAGAACTGCAGAAATAAAACAGGATGTCGTTTTTTTTTTTTTCCAAGCTCACGCCGCAGAAAACGCTGCACAAGAAAACAGAATGAAAGAACGACTGAAATCCGAACGTACGTTTTTGAGGAACTCCTCCGCGACGATGCGAGCCCTGGCGTTGACGGACAGCTTCATTTCACTGATTTCCTTGTCGATTTCTTCCATAAAATGAATAACAAAGTCCACTAGTTTGTGCTTGTACATCTGCTCGGTGTGGAAGTTGGTGATGAGGAAAGAGATGTCGTAACCCTGCAAAACACAAACGCCATGATTCTAGATTAGCACGGTGGAATACTCCTGTCATTACAAAGACACATTTTTCACTTGACTCCTGCATGAAGAAAAACAATTAAGGCTCAAAATTATATATTTGAAAAAACGTCACTTTGGCTTAAGAAATCAAACTTACCAGTTTGTTACAATAAGAAAGTGTCACGGCTGAACGATTTAGCAGAGCTCCACTCTGAATATCACCATTAATGGAAAAGATTGCTTCCTAACAGACTTTATTTATGAAGCAAAAGCTTAAAACAACCCCCACATAAAATAAACAAAAATATTAAACCACGTTGTGATAATTTAAGTTCATATTAAAAGGCTATATATAAACATGGACAGGTCAATGTCAGATGGCATCATGATGAAATTACTCCTGGCCTCATCATGACGCCGGTAAGTCATAACGTCGTTAATATTTCAATAATAACCTAAAGTAACTAAAGTTCATCTCCTAAAGAATAAATAATGCATGTACACAGCATGAGTCGACATAGAGGAGTTTAACAGGACATAGTCAGTTTCAAACAAGTATTTTATACATGTCTGCTAAAAAACTGGGTGCAAAGTTTCAATGGGATTTTCAGTCACTTACCTCGACTGGTTTCCTCCTCAGGATGAAGAAGTTTTCTGCCCTCATCATCATGAAGCGCATGAACTTATGGCACAGAATCTTCTCAATCTCATCTGCCTGCAAGCAGCAAATAAAATGTGCGTCCATTAAAGCCGGGAAGCTGTTCAGGTCTCGGTCATCACTGTGTCGGTTCTGGACAGAAATCTGGCTGACCTGCTTCACGGCGATGCTCACTCTGACAGAGTTGATGGAGCCCTCGATCAGAACCTTCTCCTTGTCGTTACGGCTAATGATTACAGGTTGGAGGAGCAACTCTTTGCTGCTCCTGGACACGGGCAAAAAACACCAATAAAGTGCACGTCACCCCGAGTGACAAACTGAGTGTCTTTCTCTCGGCTGTGACTGTTGTCTCACCTGACTTCCACCTCTGGTTTGTTGTGCCTTTCCACCACCTGAGAGGAGAAGTTCTCCAGGCAAAGAGCGGCCTGCAGCGTGGCACGCACCGCGTTGAGGTACGGACGCAGAGTGGCCGTCTGATGGTGGAAAACAAGAAGCTGAACTGAAGAAAAATGCTTTCCAACAAGAAATGAATGCACCTCACCACACATTTAACTGGTTTAAAAGAATTCAACGCGTTTCTGGTTGATGAATAACCAGCTTTCCAAAAGATACTCTCTCGCTCTGTATATTAAGAAGGACTGTGGAGGCCTTTAACCGGCTGATTCCTCCAGTTTCTGGCTACTGCTCTGCAACTTTTAGATGCATTCCTGCTCCAACACAACTGAAGCAAATGGATGGCCCTTTGCCAGGCCTCTGTCAAACCTGAAGGCACGCTGAAGTAATTAAATCATGTGACTCAGGTGTGATTGAAACCTCCCAACACCTTCTATTCCCTTCAAAACCAAAGTGCCCCTTTCTATTACATTAGAAATGTCTTGGAGGATTGCACTGACGCACAGTGGTCCTCTTGTCTAAAGGGAAAGAGGATTCAAAGGATATTAGCTGATAACACCTCTTATAACACAACAGACCCACAGGATTACCAAACAAATAGGAGGGAAGGTTTTCATTTCGTTTATTCATACTGAAATAATCACAACTACAAATATGACATACAAGTGAAATTAGATCTGAACACCGTATAATAACAGACCCCTTTTATTACTCAAAACTAAACATTTCCTGTATTAAAAGTTTGTTTTCTGAATTCCCAGATTAAGAATTTTTGTTTTTATTACAGTCAGAAAATTCTAAAAATTCATACTAAATTCAGAAATGTACATTTTATTTTCCGACGCTAAAGTAAAACTTCTGAAACACAAACTCCTGGTAGTTAAATTTCTGAACTCAAACAAATAAAAAGCAATCTGGTGAGTTTGGCCCTAATTGGTGAAACGCCTTTATTTGCATGGGTTAAATAAATATTTAACATAAAATTGTTCAAGATGGGGGAGAAATCTGCTCTAGACTGCACACATACATTACATCTTTTTCAATTTTATCATTATTACCATCATCTAATGAAAAAGGAAGCAGGAAGCTTCACCAAATATATTCTTACATCCGGCTACATCGCTGTTTTAAACTGTAAAGTATTACTATCATGTATCACTACAACGCGATGGCTACTAAAACAACTAGACATCCTCCTGCTACAACCTGATATTAGGAAAAACCTTAAAATCTCTCTTAGCTTGTCGATTAGCTAACGTTAGCAGCTAAGCTATGTCTCAACTGACAACAGGATGAACAAAAATAACCTCCGTCTATAGTAGCTACAGAAGTAATATCAAAACACTCACTACATACAAAAAAAAAATCTGACATAAATAATAGTTGAAATTGGACATTTTATGCGGACATATGTCAAATTTCTCTCACCATTTCTCAGTTTCAGCAGAGGGAGCTAAACGCGGAAGTAGCTACTGTCGCGTTTTCTGCGAACACACCGGAAGTGCCCACGGCTGCCTGAATAAATATAAAAAAAACCTCACAAGACATGTTTTAAATATGTATCTTCAGCATTTAAACTATTTTGTCATTTCAATGTTGAAGGTTTTACAAAAGATAGGATAGCAAAGAGATGTTTAATTTACAGTACATACTTTAGTATTGAGCTCATTCATCAATTTTAGATGCTCCTTTCCTATTTGTGAACCTAAAAACCTATTTTATTTATATTTTTAAGGATTTAAACAAAAGGCAACGTAATGATGGAAGAAAAAAAAACATTTTATGTTGTGTATATTCTATGCAATTAGTCACATTCGATGACATTACTACCTTCACACACTGATTACCAACATTTTTGTATTTATCTGGAAAGATTAAACTTTTAAGTATTGGTAGAAAAATCCAGGTTAGCATAAAGCTAATTTATTTTTAGACTATTGTGCATAGAAGGATTCCACATAAAATCAAAACTGTTACTAGCAGCCATAAACATCCTCTTCACGTCTGTTGTATAACCGTCTTCAGTCAGAAGTTTCTTTTGAACTGCTGCAACACTGACGACTACAGGAGATTCTTCCTGCCCACAGGATCTACACCAGCTCTTTGGAGAGTATGTAATATGAGCTGCATTTAATTTATCTCTGGAAATAAGAATTTAATTATTTAAAGCATCTAGTCCTATTTTTAATTACGGAAATGAACATTTTCACAATACTCACAAGATGCACCTGTAAGACATCAAACACCAAACTATTCATATATTCAAGAGTTTTATTATTTGACGTTCAAATTTTCTTTTACAACATCATTGGCATTGCTGTAATGTTTTCTGTAAGGAAAAAAAAAATAAGAGTAATACCAGGGAAAATTGTTGAATATTTTCTTTAAATGGAAAGAAGAAACATTTCAGTCCTATACCATCTATACACCGTAGTACACAATCCGTTAAAAATATTAAGTACTTAGCCGACCTGAGCTACAAGCAGATATAGAACAGCAATAATGAAAGACGGGACAGGAGACGGGTGAATGCAGTGTTGGTGAAGCATGTGGTCACCCTTTACCATTGAGAGGCGTCTGATGAGGAGGACATAACACATACAGCAGTAATAGTAGCAGTACAAGTAATGTTACATAAAAGACAAACTTTATATATCAAGGTTTTAACTTGTTACGCTGTGACTGCCTAATCAGCTTTTACTTGACACAGTAACATATATTCAGCAGTGTGAGGCAGTTAGAAACCCTAATCCTGAAGTGAAAAGGCAATACAATCACCAGATTGTTCAGAAGATTCTCAGGAGAAATTCGCAGGAGGGAGGAGGCATAAATTTAGAGCTTACCAAAAGGCATGCGATAGGAGATGTTACACCCCCCCCCCCCCCACAAAAAAAAAAAAAAAAAAAAAAAAAAACTATTCAGTCACCCCACAATAACAATTAAAGGCAAAAAAAAAAAAAAAGAAAAAAAAAGAAAGGTGCAAAACCACAAGTGTTTAAGATCGGCTTTTAAATTAACCGCCAATTACAACAAATATTTATTTAGTTCTGCTAGTTTATTTCATGAGAAAGGCGCAAAAGAAAGCGAGTAGAAAGCAGAGAATGATATTTGGGATGCTGCATCTTGGGAAAAGCCAACATCATCTCACAACAGAGCTTGCTTTGAGAGCTCTGGAGTCCGTCCAGATTTCCTAATTGCACTCTGAACATGGCTCCATGGCCTCGCCCTCTCAGAGTGAGTCAGGGGCAAAACCTGACAAACATGGCAAAATACAGGAGTTCACTCACTACCGAGTCATGGGTGTGAGGTCACGAAGGGTGCGTTTCTTCTCTCATGTGATTTTTACTGCGCTGGATTCGTCATTGAATCGAGGGTGAGGGCGAGGGTGAACTGGTGTATTAATTTATGTACTAAGTGGGGAACGAGAAAGAGGTTTGGGGGTGGGGGAGGGGTGGGGGTGACGTACATCCATGTGCGGCATACAGAGTGAGGGGTGGTGTCAATGGAATGAGCGGTGTGTGAGGAAGACCAATAAGGAAACCGTTTTGGGTTTTTTTGTTGCTTTTTTTCCCTGGGAGCGAGGCTGATGACATGTAACAGGGTGATGACAAGATGAGAGAAGATGGTCCAGTTTGTCCCTCAGCAGCTGCAGCTCTCTGCAGAAGGTTTAGCTCTGTCGTTCCTGTCCAGCTTTATGGGCTCTGGGAATTCATTATACAACTCCACCTCTGTCTCCTGAAAAGCATACAAGAGGGGGGAACAAAAAGAAGTAACTATTCTCTGTTAATTAACAGTACAAATATACACTCAAATGTTAAATTCCTGTGTTCTTGTTCAACTCGCCTGTTTGAGAGCGTTGCGTGCGATAGTCTGGAATGCTTGTTCTACGTTTATGGCTTCTTTGGCGCTGGTCTCAAAGTACGGGATGTTGTTCTTACTCTGACACCAGGCCTGAGCCCTTTTAGTGGTCACCTGAACATAAAGAAAAAAAAACAAAAAAAAAACACATCCATCAACGATGACATGGAAAGTTTCAATACTAGAATTGTCTGATTTGTTATTTTAAAGAACGTAATTCACAAAAAAAAACAAGTTTGTACCGAGTAGTGGACGGTGATCAAAAGTTCTCAGTGATCAGGAGGCTATATAGTTTATTTACTGAAAACTACCTTTAATAGTCTGTAAACCCATATGCTTTGATCCACATTGTATTGCAGTTAGACAAAAATCAAAGATTAGGGACATTAACACCGATGCATGAACACGGATGTTCTTCTAATTTTTATTTTTTGATGGATTGCAAACAGCAATATGAATTTTATTTCCTTTAATTGGTTTTTTAAAAAAGAGAGAGAAATATAAAATGTTTACAAAAAACAGGACGGATACATCGCAACATATAAACACAGCACATTTTATTTTTTTCTATAAAAAATTGGGCCGATATCAATATCCGGTATCAATACTGCTTTTTAGGGCGATGTTGCATAGAAATTCCCTCGACCTTTGAAAACTATCGACCACACTGCTGACTTCACCACTGCTTCAGCTGAACTACCCACAATCCTGCTCTGCATCACTATCGCATGACGGAACACAAACCACATGACCAACCGCCACAGCACCTCATCCAGAAACAAACGGCAAAACCCACGATCTTTAAAACACACTTTGGGATCATTTTGACCAAAACCATTTGTGAAACTCATGTTAGCTACCACAGGGAGCATTTTGGCCAAATGTTTAGGTAATCCCAACTAAAACTAGACTCAGACTGTTCTGCCAAACTTAAAAACTGCTTCTAAACATAAAGGTCAAAAACAACATTCAGGCAAACTGAACTGCAGCGACACAAGAGGAAGAGGAGGGAAATAAAACTGGTGGCTCTGCTGAGGAGAACAGAACAACAACAACAGGATATTCTACAATCTAACCATGTATCATCATACCCCACTTTTATCTTGTTACTTGTTAGCAACTTCTTTTTGGATACATGCAAACAATTTAGTCTTGAATCCTAAAATACACTGAAGACTAGATCAGCACTGCTGACATGAGAACAAATAAAGGAAGTTCTTCCTGCCTCTGTGTCCAGATGCATCCACCTGTTCCCAGTTCAACTTCAAACTGCAACCATTTTCATTTGAGATTCCTAAAATATGTTTCATTTCAGTTTGGATTTGGTTTGCTAATGAGCATATTAAACAAATTCAATAACAGACTTTTAAGACATATATTGATGCAATATCCTCAGGTCTGGGCAAAACGCTTTACTTCCCATAAGAAAGGTTTAATTACTTGTGTATCGTCACCACTTGCTCTTTTACAACTATCCCCACTGAGGAATTACAGTCATGTCTTCATAAGTCAAATTACACACAGCAATACCATTAGGGTCTTATGGCCGCTCTGAAGAATTACAACAGAACGTAGAGAGCGAGTCATAAACATAAGAATGCACACGTGCAGACGGAAGATTTGCAACCCATTTCCTGCACCGGAGTCCTTCGGAGTGGGCATTAGACACGGTCTCTGTTTCAGGAATGTGGAACCGATAACAACCTGTCTGTTCTCCAGGTCAATCTTGTTGCCTAGCACCACAAAAGGGAAGTTCTCGGGGTCTCGCGGGCTGGCCTGGATTAGAAACTCATCCCTCCAGCTGTCGAGCGTCTTGAAGGTGTTGGGTGCAGTCACGTCAAAAACCAGCACGCAGCAGTCTGCCCCACGGTAGAACGCAACACCCAAAGACTGAAACCTCTCCTGGCCAGCTGTGTCCCAGATCTGACCAATCAAAAAGAAGGAAAAAAACAGAATAAATCAACTTAAATAATCAGATTTTTTCAATACTTTAATGTCACAAATTGAGTCATCAAGTTGGAAATGTACCTGCATTGTAACAAGTCGGTCATCCACCATAACCTCCTTGGTGAGGAAATCTGCTCCTATTGTTGCTTTGTACTGGTTACTAAACTTTTTGTTCACGTACTGGTTCATTAGGGAGGTCTTTCCAACTCTGAGGAGAAAAAAAAAACATGAGAGCTACTGTGTTTAAAACAGGCATGGGAACAAATCAATTTGAGGCATCTAGCAAACAAGTATAAACAAAGATTTATTTCCTTAAGTTACACTAAGTAAGGCAAAAGCATGCCACCATTTCTACAGTAAAATCTGCTTCTCAGTAAAAAAAAGAAAAGATCATATGAGAAAAACAGCTTCTACAATATTTTAAACATATTTTAGTTTGTGCAAAGCTGGCAACTTCTTTCAAGCATTGAGACTTGAAGTACGCTTTTCTCAGAATGTTTAATAAATTTATGAGCCTTTAAAAAGAATGAATTACAGCACCACATAAAAGGGATGTGAGAGAAAAAAATCTGCATGATTGATTACTTCATGCAAATTCATCACAATTAGAGTTAAACTTTACCATGGACATTTTATTGCATAGCAGAAGTGCATATTTGATAGAGTACTGATTCCTAAATGGGACTGAATTGTTATCCGTATATTGAGATGCTATTTGCATCGACCACTGAGCGAAGATGCACACATCCAAGTCTTTTCATTCTTTTAAATAGCAATATTAATTAAATATTAACACTAAATTTAACCATGAAAACCATTTTAACATCTCTGGTGCTGAAGGAAACTGAAGATATGAAACAAAGTTTATGCAAAACAATCAAACTGCAACCAAGTGTGAGTGAACAAAAATCCCTCACTTTTAAATCTAAAGCAATGACATCATGAGTATTTTATTCTTATTTTATATAAATCCAACAACTCTAGTGAACTCCATACAACTGTGTTTCCAATTATGAAATAGCTTATTAAAATTCTGCTTAATAAAAAAAAAATCTACATGAAGCTCATCTCCACCAACTGCATGTCTGAATAGACAAAGCTAAGTAATACAGACAGCAGGTGGCAGTAGAAGAAAAGTAACAAAATGGCTGCATGAAAGAGAAAACAACTTTGAACAAAACAAGAACATAAAGCAGGTCATTTTGAAAGTGAAATAAAAAGTAAACTGTGTGAATAGATCTAGTTCATTTTCAGTGAAAAGGGTTCAACGTTGCCGTAAAAACAATTACAAATTCAGCTGCCCAAATGTATAAACTCGTATTGGTAACTGTTGAAACGGGGGAAACAAAACAAATACATTTCATTTTCATGTTTGTCAGGATCTTAAAATGTTCACTATTCTCCTCTAAAGTGAAAGGTGGAACTGCATTACATCAAAAAAAGCAGCAATTTTCTAGCTAAGTTAACTTGCTTCCTCTTGTCTTTTACTTTAAACTGATAACTAAACATGAATCCTGGCAAACAGTTTCAGTTCTGGTAGAAAATGGAACTGAAATCACTAACCAAAGTGTTGCTTCATGGTCACAGCAAACACAGGAAATTACTAAACGACAGCAGTGACCATGTTCCAACAGGTCTGCAGATTAAAAGTCCAGACCTTTAAGTTATTGGTAAAAGCCTAAAATCATTAGAGGGAGCAGAGGTGGTGATCTGCCTGGATACAGCTTATGACTACTGCCGACGCCAATGAGGAAGTAGCACTGAGCATTCGCTCCAACCAGAAAAGCTACCAGAAAAAAAAAAAAAAAAGAGCGCAAGTTTTTTTCACCAACTATATTTAGAGGTGATCTGTGTGGTCCTTCACACTGCTGAATTTGGCATAAAGAAAAACAATAGATCCATCTTGTGACTCACCCAGAATCTCCCAGGATGATGACTTTAAGGAGCACTTTCTTCCTAGACGTCATTGTTCAGCTGCAGGAAGAAAAAAAAATGAATAAAACTGTTAAAACTCTCTATATCCCCCATAACCGATTCATTTTAGATCAAAAACTAATCAGCTTCATGACGATTTGAAAAAAAAAAAAAAAAGACAGTTAACTAAACGATAACTGGCCTATTGAGAAACATGAATGTAGAAATCTGAGCTCAGTTTTTACGCTCCTGCGGCAGTAAAGTTTGAAAGCGACTTATTCCAGTCATGTGCTTCCTAAGCTGTCGAGCAAATCACGAGGCGAACATCCCTCTCCTTGTATTTCTCTCTCTCTACACACGCAGACAGCAGGAAGTCGTTGCACAGGGTCAACCCTTGCAGATATTACCGGCACAGAGATAATAACCTGATAGAGAACATATTTCCAGGACCCAAGCAAACATCAGAAATACCTCAGAAAGATGATCTGAAGTGCTTTTTACATGGTTGGTCTCGCCTGACGGCTCAGATTTTGTCCAAAGACGAGGAAATGAAAGAAAACTGCAAGAGTTTTCAATAAAGTGATTTTCCCAATTTGTTTATCCATTTCCAATCTTAAACTGATTTTAGAATTAAACTTAAAAAAAAAATAAAAGTTTGATTGGAAGTTCATGCATTTATATATGGTAAGCAGAAAAAGTTGTACTGATTGAAGCACTTAAATATGGGGGAAATCATTTTTTTTCACTATTTGACTGGTGAACTACTGATTAGAGGTGATCATGGGAAAACTGGATGATTCTGATTTCTACTGATTGGTACATCTCCACACATCATCACTCTAATTTAGAAATGGTCTCCCTTGTTAGAACAGATTTGTAGTAAAATATTTTGCATAAAATATTTTCCAAGTTCTGGACCTCAACTCTAACAAACCATAATCAGCGCAACTTGAGGTTAAAAGTAGGAGAAACAAGAGTGACTGCAAGAAACTGCTAAATTGCACAAGACAAGACGGGTCATCGAACTGTGGTTTTATCTTAGTATTTAGTTTGATTAGATAGGAAGCCCTTACAGAACGGAAAACATAGATGTGCAATACAAAGTACATTATGAATTCCTAAGGCTAAACAAAAATACAATGTGAAAAAAGCAAAATAGGGAATTCAGCACCGTTATATTTTGTTGTTTTATCAAGGCTAATAAAATTAACAATCCCTGAATTGCACAACCAATACGTGACGTAGATATTCTCAAAGCATTTATCAAACACTCTAAAAGATCTATTCAATCTCTGATTGAAGTAAAAAAACAAGAGGAAAAAATACTATTTTCAGTTTCCAAATACATTCATGTATTTTTATTTTTTTAAAGTTTCATAAAAACAACAGATAAAGGCTTGGGACGTGTTTCACTGTGTGAAATACATTTAGTCTCCAAGGATTATCTTAAACACTTCCCTGCACAAACAGGAGACAGACTAAAGAAGCAACAGTTCAATAAAAGTCTGCTCCATCTCTGCTCAGACGTTTGTGAAATTTGGCTTCAGTTAAGGAATCGCTGCATAAGGGAAAAAAACAAAACACAAAGCGGTAACTACTGCACACTGTAATATCTAGCAGTGTTTTCCCAACCATTCCTGTCCCAGATACATGAGTGTTATTCACATCTTATCCAGAGACGTTTTAAATAGTTAAACAACACTCATTATTGTCAGTCTGATAATCATCATCAAACACCTCTGTTGTTAGTACTCGGGGAAGTAAATGTTTGCTCCGTTCTTTCTTTTAGCCGGTGAAAACACAATAAGGGACTGCACAACAATTTGACAGAAAAGTTGACCACTTCCCATCAGCTCTGGGTCAACTTACATCCTGGCATGAACGGCAGGACAATGAAACGGTCCCAACTGTTATTCGTTTTGTGTTTAAAGCAGTTCTAGACCAAGAAGTTTTGTTTGAAAGAAAACAATAAAAAAATAAAAAATAAAAAAAAAAAGAACACTTGAGCTGCAGCCCCTCGAGAGCAGCACAGTAAACTTGTGTTGCGCTCAAAGAGAACAAGCATGGCTCTCCAGTGACAACATTCCTGTGAAGCACGCTAGGAGCTGGAACAACGGCAAGCACCTGAAGTGAAGGCGTGTTCAGACCACACTCACATGATTACTGAACAAAGCAAGATCAGGTATCACTGAAGCACAGCTGAGAGAAAGGAGATGCGTTTCAAAACGAAAGAAAGTCGGCTTGACAAAGCAGACAAAGAGCTCTTGTCGCTTTGACATGAAAACGTCAACCTGGCGACATTTTACTGCTTTACTGAGCTGTAGCAACAGGTTTCCTGCTTACGGTGGGAATTAATGCTTAAAAAGATTTGCACAATGCATTTTATCTGGACAAGTTTTTTATTATTTTTTTTTTATTTCCCAACTAATTATTCTGGTCAATTGTAACCCTCTCTTTGTAGGTTGAAGTAACAATAAAAAAGTGTCTCATTGCACCAAAACTGTACAATATTGCATAACTGCTCTTGAATTCAAATTGGGAAATGAGTTGAAAAACGTGACACAATGAACTTGAGCAAAGTTATTCCTTTCCGACTGCATATTTGAGACGAGAGCAGCTAAAATCCACTCGCTCTGACATGGATTATGAATGCACACAAACAGGATTAAATATAGAAGGCAAAATGTGTCTCGCTGCTCAGTTTGTCTCAGAGTCGGATCATTTTTATGGGTTCAGGCAAGTTTTCATAACTTGAAAGGGCAAACTAATAAAGAACAGGGATCAGTTTTCAGCACAAGAGCTGAACAGAAACAACCCGTCGTTACAAATTCAGTATTTTCTAGATTTGCAGAGAAACTAATCAATAGGAAAGTAGTTTATAATTGTTTTTTAAGGGACAATATACAGCATCAGACACTTAACTGTTAAAATTGTGGTCTGAATAAACAAACTCGAGAGATAACCAAAATTCAAGCCATTCCAAGCCAATAGGCTGGTAGGTTGAGTCATTCACTGGTATCGAGTAAACTCAAAAGTTGATTATGTTCTGGGAATGTTTGCCAATGACAGCAGTCAATCATTGAAAACACATCACGAGGCAAGAGGACGGGCCATCCCGTAAAGGTTAAATTTAGATTTTTAGAAAATAAAACAGACTAAACAAAAAGGTACCGTCTGATAACTGGTGTGGAAATTTTACAAACTAAACTTTTACAATTATTTTATAAACACCTGAGGGCTTTTTTTCCCCCCTTTGCATTACTGATTGATAAAATACTGCCATTCATCTCCCTAAGAGCTGTTCAAACAAGTCAGCCATCTATCAAAACGCCCACATCGTTTTCCAACATTCATGTTGTGTTTCTCTGTTATCCTCTGATTAATCTGACCTGCTACACGGCTAAAATTCAATGAAATGCAAATGGACGATGAAGCTGAAAACAACTTCAGTTACAAACCCAAACACCGTTTAGGTATTTAGGTGCCAAGATGGGGACATCCAACTGACTTGATGTTGGCATGTTGGTATCACTGTTGTCTGACATTCTTTGTATCAGAAAGGCATAACGTTTATCAAAAACTTTAAATTATTGAATATTTCATGGTAATATCGAAATAATATTTAGAATATTCTGTGATATTAGGTAAAAATAAATTTAAAACAAGTTGCGATGTAAAAGTGAGGGACATAAATTACCTAAAATCGTAAGTCTTCTATTCTGTTTTAATAAATCAAAATAAATGCCAGATAATTTTTAAAAATGTCGATCTTCAAGTGGTACAGAGCAGAAGAGTTGTTCAGTTCTACCAACTAGGTAGCAATCATAGCTATCGCTAATCAACAAATAAAGATGTTATTTAAAAGTACACTTGATTTAATACCAATTTCCTCAAAAGTCCCACATTTTTCGACCAAACTGTGAAAGACAAGATTAAAGTACATGGTCTGTTCTGCAAACTCAGTGACTCATAAGCTAAACAACAACAAAAAAATACTTAGAACACTGGCAAGTTTCCACTGCCTGGCAACACAAAAACAAAAATATGAAAAAGGTGCTTCCCGCAGCCAGCTGTCAGGTGATGTGTCAAACCTAGACCCCTGTCAGCATAAAGCTTACTGTAGCACAAGGTCCAAAACCAGCCCAACATTTGGAAATGGGTGGTGACCAACACTCCATCTCTCGGCACATACATGGCATTTTAAATATTGTTATGCAAGCAAAGAAATAACCGTCGGACATATGATAAAGCTTCTTTTCACGATGTTCCCTTAGCTCGGCTCACCGGTTCTCCTTCCTTGTTGGAATCGACCCAGACTGAGCCAAAGGCCGGCCTTGTTTTTTTTTTTGTTTTTTTTTTTTCTACATCAACCAGCTTTTCAAAAAAAAAAAACAAAAAAACAAAAAAAAAACACTGCA